AGAATTTTTTTGGTGTACAAAAAGTGAGGGTGCACCAAATTTTTTTGGTGCACCCTCACCATTATGAGTGAGGGTACACCAAATTTTTTTGGTGTGCCGGGTACACCGAAAAATCCCTCCATCCAGAGTTCGGCTGATTACAAAAAGGGCCGTCCTTTGGGCTCTTTTTGCGATCGAGCTGTAGCGAACACATTTCGTGATCATGTCGCTTGATTTTTGATAGGCCGAAACTTCGACTAGACCCAACATATTCATTGTATTTTTTTTCTGTTTTTGGTGACCCATGTTCATTGTGTATTTTTTTTTTTTTTTTGGTAAACCATATTCATTGTATTATACTCTTGTTAAGATTTGTAATTCGGCTAGTTAAGATCATTCATCTTTGTATTTTAAATTTTGGTCCAATTATCTCGTTCTTAATATCTATCGCTTGTACAAAATAGAAAACTGATTTCGTATTGTTGACGTGTCATGTTCATGGAGACAACACAAATCCACATAGAGACTTGAGTGGTTCAGGGACCTTGTGAATGTCTGATACGAGACATTTTTGTGTCCATCAAGTGTCTAATGAAATACCTTTTAAGGATATCTTGAGGACATTTCACATGAAATGTCGACAATACTCTGTATATAGATCTCGACATCGCTTGAAATATTTCCTTGAAATTTGTCAATATGAATGCAAATGACGTAGGCCCACTGAGTGCTCGACAAATGTCCTCACTCATGACGAAGAAAGAGTTATCTACACCTGAGAATCCACTGGGATAATCTCCTTTTGTAAATGTTTTTCACATTTCAATGTATTATTTACTTTGATGAATTGTTATTTATTTTGGAGTAATGTTAGAGGAGACCAAATTTGCAAATCAAATGATGTGTTTGTAGATTATTAGATAGTGTCGACCACATTTTTTAAACTAAATTTGCAAACCAAATGATGTGGTTATAGATCATTGGATTATTAATTAAGTATCGATTAACATGTTTGTTTCTTATTAGTAACATATCATTTAGTATGCAATTTGGTTTAAAAAAATTCATTTCCCTAACATTATCCTTTGTTTCATACAACTATAGTGGCGTCACGAATAATTGTCTCCGGTGATTGTACTAGATCTACAATTGGGGATATCCTCTCTTCCAAATAAATAAAGCCCAATTAACCAAAAAACGGAAGACAGCCCGATTGACCAAGTGACCAATCTTGACTGTTAACCTTAATTTCGGACATCTCCTCTAATCTTGACAAAATCAATTGTCATATCAGTACGATATTATTTATATACTAAAATCCAAACACAATGCTACTCTTCATTAATAGTAAAGTGGCGAAAATGCCCTCCAATTGCTCTTTGGCGTCCTATTTTTTCCATTTTTGAACAACAAAGTTGTAATGCCTTGACCCGAAATTTTTTTATTTTATTTCAAAAACTAATTTTGGAATTTACATTTAGTGGTAAGCCAAAAATAAACTCTTTTTTTACTTACTACCATTAATCACAATTTATTTAATAAATTCTGAATTTCTCACAAAATCTATAGCTAAATTTATTTACCAAAAACATAGGGTTAATCTTTAAACTAGACACCCAACCCCTTTTCTTCTTTCTAATTTTCGATAAAGATTAATCTTGGTTATTTTAAGGCTACATCTAACTCCCGTTAGATTGCCTATGTACCCTTGAACGGGATCAAGTCTTTTGTAGTTCACAATTTCATTTCTAGTCCATTTTCGAAAATATTCAAGTAGTGGAAATATTGAATATTGAACTTTAACAATCGAATCACATTGAATGGATACTAATTACGGATTTAAAATATTGAATTATGTGTAAAAAGGCAATATCGGCACGCGCCACCGCACACACTGCGTCGGTGGCAGTTTCCGGCAAACGGAAACCTAATTTTCCGATTAACTCTAAAAATTACCAAATTTTATAGGCAAGTAGAGTTCAATGAGTGGAACAACTTTCATGACTGGGCCAAAGTCCAATTTGGCCGGGAAACACCTGAAATTGCCCTTGATCCGCTGGAAACCATTGATTTGGGTGTTCTTGATTCGACTCCAAAACAGCTCCGCGCGCCCCCAAACTTGTTTGGGCTTTGTTCCTGGGCTCAAGAGAATGCTGTAAGTGGTGGTAATTGAAGGAATTTGTTTCAAAAATGGGAGGATCTACGGCAAGAACCCCCGCACCTAGGTTGCATTCAAGGCCAATTTTCCTACATTTTTGGGTGAAATGAGTAGAGAGAACGACTGGGTTCAAGGTAAGGATCATTTCGGCACCAGTCCCATCGTCAACGATGACTGGAATCGAAAAATATAGCCGGATCGAGTTGAAATGTAATTGGGTCGAAGGGGAGGGGTCTGGGTTCCCCTCCTTCTATCTTATCTCCTTTCTTCCTTTTCGTCTACACGCTCGTAGGACCAAGCTCTGACCACATTTAACAAGAAATAATATAGTATGCATGAGTATAAAATACATCCTCATGTAATTAAGTAAAACCAACTAGAATCATTTTCATCTTTTTCACTTATTGATATATTTTACAACGTAAATTATATTAATTTTCCGGTCATAAAATTTTAAAATTTCTCAATTAAATTTTTCATAATTATAAATTGATTTATTTTCAATTTTCTCTACATATTCATAATTATGAATATCAAACTCATATACGTAAATTTTTCAGAGTATTACTGAAGTGGCGGATTTACCCTTACAGGCCACGCGTCTGTCATCGCTTCATCTTCTGGTCGATCATTTTCCTCCTCTTCTTGACTCTTCTACTTCATTTCGCTTTCTGTCATCCAAAAAATCAGATCGCTCCAAAGCTCTGCTTTTCCTTTCGTTTTCACTCTTGTACTTCATTTCGTTATTTTGTTGCAGGAATTATTCATCTTCCAATAATTATGTTTTTGTTGTTAATTTTTTGTTCTTTGACAAATTTTTAGATTTGGGTGCTTTTTCGTTTCTGGTTCAATTTTTTGGGTGAAAATTTAAAAAAGGAGAAATGCTGATGGTTAATTTTTCTCCGATACTTGATTTTCTTGGTTTGTTTCTACTGATCTTTTGTCTCTTGGGCTGATTGCACTTCTTTTTCGTTACTTTTGGTGCAGATATGAAGAGGATTTGTGAAGTCGCTATGATTTCATGGGAAGTTTCTTTGAACGGATTTGAGAATTTGGGATGTTTTGAAGGTTTTTTTTTTTTATTGGGATGATTCATGGTATTTTTACTTTACCTACTCTATTTCCTCTTTAAAATTTTCAGCTATGGTGCCCGAATCGTGCTGCTTCCCAGCGTGAGAGTCATTGATCAACTTATTTTTATGCTAATTACTGTACCGGGACAAATGGGTTAACTCTTGAATGCCGTTCGCAGACAACTTAAGTTGATCTGTGTGTCTCTCTCTAGGCATTTCTTTTTTTGAACTTCTGAACAAGTTATTGAACACAATGATGCATGATTTATAGCGTCCATTCCTTGCTTCTTTGACTGAAGATATGCATGTTGTTCCAGATTTTCACGGGAATGGGTGTATTCTTATACATTGAAAGCTAAACTTCATCTGTCATAGTGCCACCCTTCTCTTCCGTTAAACTACTGAATTTATGATTGCCTAGGTCGCCAAATGCAGACCCAAAAGCGAAAGGTATGGTCTGTGGCCTAACACTTGATACAAGTCAGAATCAGTTGGCTCTTCAGTAGCTTTTTTTGAGTATCTGTTTCATTCTTTGCAGATTGACACGATACTATCATGTGGAGCCCTTGCTAAGAATGCACTATTAATTCAAGAACATGCAGATATAATAGCTCTCTCTCTCTCTCTCTCTCTCTCTCTCTCTCTCTCTCTAACATAAACATCATATAGCCCCAGCTCCTTTGTGTTTCTAATCTTTGTTAATTAATCTGTCTTGTTTTGGCCTTTTATAGAATTAAAATAAAAAAAAAAAAAATCTTCTTCAAAATGAACTTTTATCGTCATTTTAGATTTATCTGATTGTGCTTCTCTTTTATTGAAGTTGATTGCAGAACCGAACCTGTATTGTTTTGTTGCAATTGATTTCTGAAATTAGTAATATATCTGTTCAACGATTGAACTGTTATGATGAAGTTTCTTTCTAAAATATTGGATCTACTGTGGGAGTGGGTTGGGACCCCTTGTCTGTGATATATTCAGGTTTTTATTTATTTATTAATAAATAATAATTATTATTATTTTAATAATTTATTTTTTTTATTAAATATTTAGCTGTGTCCCAAATGTGACAGCCACGCATCGCTTAACGGTTAACTTAAAAGATTTTCTAATGGATGTATGAAATTTAAATAAAATGATAAGTAAATGTATGAAATTTAAATATTTTAAAGATGTTGTAAGGAATTGAAATATTTTAAATATTTTACTCTAAACCTGAGCGGGTAAAATGTAATTTACCCTATTTTATACCTTTATGAGGGAGAATATTTAGGTCTGAAGCGAGATTAGTAACCTACTTTAGGGCTTAGGGTTGTACTCGGATGTTTTCTTTTTTATCCTCAAATTGCCAGGACTACAATAGAGGGGAAAAAAATCGCGAGATAGTGCATTATTAGGAATATTTAGCAGGATAAACACACAAAATAGTATCCTCGGTTTCTACTTTTTGTGTCGAGTCTGTACCTATGTTCACAATGACATTTTATGATTTAGTTAATCATCTTGGGCACTGGGCGGGTGATCCATCCATCCAAAGATCCTAAGGTGGAGAAGTACCGTGATGCCAGGTACCGCATTTTTCGCGAGCTTTCTCAGCAGCTCTCATCGTTCTCTGATGGCTCAAGCCTTGGCTTAATTGATTCTTCATTCGTGGCTCACGGCGGGCGCTTGCTATATTGGAAGATTAGAAATGCACGGCCTTCATGCTGTTACGTGGTGTAACATGACGTATTTCATTTTATATTTTATGCAAAAGCCTTGACATGGAGACTGGTTAAGGAGTTGTTCAAAGAGATAGATACTTGGAATTATCCGTCCGTTATCGTTGACCCGAAAAAAGGAACAATACTGATTGGAAACTTGATGGTGAATTGGTGGTTTGGCGGCGATGCAAATGCAAAAAGAGAGAAATGTCAAATACTTTCCAGGAAAAAAAATGGCTGCAGATGATACACAACTCACAAACTTGGTCATTTACCATGGAAAACTCACAAACTCTCTTCCTCGTCGGACTTGTGTTGCTGGTAAACTACTTGTGTTTTCTTCCGTCTTCCGCATCGTTTTCCAACGATACCGATCAACATGCTCTTCTGGCAATCAAATCTCAACTCGCTTACCCTGCCAATGGTGTCCTAGCCGGTAATTGGACCATTAGAGCAAGCTTTTGCGATTGGATCGGGGTCTCTTGCAGTAAGCGCAGGCAAAGAGTCACGGCCTTGGACCTTTCCTATATGGATCTTCATGGCATGATTTCTCCTCACGTGGGTAACCTCTCTTTCCTCGTCTCGCTTCGTCTCCAGAACAACAGCTTATTTGGATTCCTGCCACATGAAATCGGTCGTTTACATCGCTTGAGGATACTAGCACTTCAGGACAACCAGCTGCAAGGAAACGTCCCTCCAACCCTACAGCATTGCCAGAAGCTCAAGGTCATAAACCTTAGCAGAAACATGTTCAGCGGTCTCGTACCCAAAGAGCTGGGTTCTTTACCCGTGCTTCAGCAACTGTATCTCACCGCAAACAATCTTTCGGGTGGAATTCCGGCATCTTTGGGTAACATTTCAACATTACATGAATTGTTCTTGGACCAAAACAGCCTCACAGGTTCATTCCCCTCTACTCTCCTCAACCTGTCTGCTCTAGTTTTTATTTATCTAAGATCAAATGACAATATTTTCGGAAATCTTCCCGGGGATCTTTGCCACTACTGGCCTAATATCCGAGAAATTTCTCTTTCTGGCAACAGCTTCAGTGGCCCGTTCCCTAGTAAAATATACAAGTGCAAAAGTCTTGTGTTGTTATCTCTATCATACAATAGGTTAACCGGAAGTATTCCAGAAGAAATTGGGGGACTGCAAAATCTTGAAACCTTATACCTTGGTGGTAATAACCTAACCGGTAAGATTCCTCAAACCATAGGTAACATGTCCAACTTGAAGTACTTTAGTTTGGAATTGAATAGCATCAAGGGAAGTATTCCTAGTGGCGTAGGGCGTCTTCCTAGTTTAGTCTCTTTTTTTTTCGCCGGTAATGGGCTGAGCGGAGTTTTACCCCCAGAAATTTTCAATATCTCCACCATAACAGACATCGCCGGAAGGGATAATGCCCTTACTGGAAGTTTCCCTTCATATACTGGAGGGATTTGGGGTCCTAACCTTGAAACCCTCGGGCTTTCAACCAATCAAATCACTGGAAATATCCCGTCCTACTTTTCAAATTTTAGTAAGCTTACCATGCTTGATTGTAGCTACAACTTGCTCCATGGACCAGTTCCCATGGATCTTGGTAACTTAAAAGACCTTAAGTTTCTTGTTTTAGGAGCAAATAAGTTAACAGGAGAACCTGGAGTTCTTGAGCTTAGGTTCCTTTCTTCCTTATTCAGTAGCAGCTCGTTGGAAACATTAGTTGTGAGTGAAAATCCCCTCAACGGCATCATCCCGGATCACTCTGGAAACTTTTCTTCTTCCTCTTCCCTTCGAAAGTTGTATGCACAGCTGTGCCAAATCAAGGGTCGTATACCCAAGACATTGAGCTCCTTGTTGAAAAACTTGACCATTCTTGCCTTGACCGGCAACAATGTCAGTGGAGAAATACCTCCATCAATTGGAAGATTCGAGAATCTGCAAATCTTGTATCTCGATAACAACAGGATTGAAGGTTTCATTCCGGAGGAGTTATGTCATATCGGGAACCTGGCTGAGCTATCACTGGCAAGCAATACTATTGGTGGATTGATCCCAAGTTGCATAGGAAACCTCAGACGCCTTCAAAGAGTGTTCCTAAATTCCAACAAACTGAACTCATCAATACCAGTCAATTTATGGAACCTTGAAGACCTCCTGTTCCTAGATTTGTCATTCAATTCCTTGAGTGGATACTTACCTCCTGACTTGAGAATGTCAAATGTCCTTGAGATGATAGATTTGTCATGGAACCGAATTTCTGGAGACATTCCGAGCATCTTGGGATCCTTTCAAAGCATAAACTCTCTAAATTTGTCCAACAACTTGTTCATCGGATCTATTCCACATACTTTTGGGAAGGGTTTGGAAATTTTAGACCTGTCATACAATAATCTGTCTGGGCCAATACCAAAGTCTCTAGAAATACTCAGATTTCTCAAGTATTTGAATCTCTCTTTTAATCAACTCTCTGGAGAGATTCCATCAGTTGGACCTTTTGTTAACTTCACTGCCCAATCATTTTTGGGGAATAAAGCACTCTGTGGGAGACCAGGTTTTGGAGTCCAACCTTGCAAGAATCTTAGCACTCGAAATTCAAAGACCGCGCATTATTTCCTCAAATATGCTATTCCGGCTGTGATATCAACTTTGATTGTGATAGCTGCCATTTTTATGTGGAGAAAGTCTAGAAAAACAAGTGCAAGTGTTCCAAGTTCAGAAGAATTGTCAATGGCTCCAGGGCATAGAATGATATCATATCATGAACTCCGTTGTGCTACAAATGATTTCTCTGAAAGCAACTTTCTGGGAGCCGGAAGTTTTGGCTCTGTGTACAAGGGAAGTCTTTCCGATGGGACAACCGTTGCTGTCAAAATTCTAAATATGCAAATGGAAGGTTCCTTGAAAAGTTTCATTGCAGAATGCGAGGTATGGCGAGCAATACGACATAGAAATCTTGTTAAGGTTATAACTACGTGCTCGAGTCCAGATGTAAGAGCTTTGGTGCTGCAATACATGTCTAATGGTAGCCTCGAGGAGTGGTTGTACTCTCGCAATCATTGTCTAAATCTTTTTCAAAGAGTGAGCGTGTTGGTCGATGTTGCAGCAGCTTTAGAATATCTCCATCAAGGCCAATTAGAGCCTGTAGTGCACCGTGATTTGAAGCCTAGCAACATCCTTCTTGACGAAGACATGGTTGCACATGTGGGGGACTTTGGTCTTGCTAAAATTTTGGCAGGAAACAAGGATGCAACACAAACCAGAACTCTCGGTACACTTGGCTATGTTGCACCAGGTAAATCTATTTACTTTTGTTTATTACCGGAAGCCGGGAAAACGATCAATTATTGGTTAATTACAACCGTGCTAGATGTTTTTTGCGTATATAGATTTCCACACTGCTTTTGTGTTTTTTGCGTATTCGCATACGTACATGTCATAATAGCTTTACTATGAACGTGTTTTGGCAGAGTATGGTTCATTAGGAAAAGTGTCAACAAGAGGTGATGTGTATAGCTACGGAATCATGTTGTTTGAAATAATTGCAAGAAAAAGGCCAACAGATGGAATGTTTACGGAAGAACTGACCCTGAGGAAATGGATAAATGCGTCGCTCCCTGACGGTATTCTGGGAGTAGTGGATATTGGTTTATTGAGCACAGAAGAGGGAAGAGAGATGAATGCCACAAAACTTATCATTTTATCAATCATGGACATCGGCTTGAGATGTTCCGACGAAGTGCCAGAGGAAAGAATGGATATCAAAGATGTGTTACGGAAGCTCATAAAAATAAAATCAGCACTTGAAATGTAGAGACAGTGTGTTTGCTGTCCATGAGATTGACTTGGCAGTCCTTGTGTGTATTTTGCTTGTTTTTTCAACTTTTATTTCCTACTGTTGGTTCTGTATACGTGTAGACATCGAAATTTCACAAGATTTTCGTGTTTACAATATGTATCATCTTTCTATTTTGCAAACCTTTCACTTTGTTTCAAGGAACATGTATGTTTTTCCATAATTCAAGGAAATAACATCCGAATACTTCTTTTCTCCTTTTGCACACTTTTATTTTTCTTGATTCTCTTGTTGATTCATTCTGTTAAAGACATGGCCCATAACCCAACTAGCGCCAGATCCTTCTAGAATACAGTGAAATAACTGTTCTTTTCTTCCGTTTCAAATAGAGAACTTCATACAAAAAGAAGACAAGATGAAACGATTTATTCTCTAAAGGCTGTTTTAGGAAATGCCTTGTGAAGTTGCGAAATTGAATTGGCAGGATCAGAAGTTACCGCATGTTCACAGGGTTCTCTGCATCTCCCTTCTGCTATTACTGAGGAATTGTTCAGTTTAGAGCTGCCCGGCAGATTCCTAAACAGATCTGTTGCCTCCAACGCCCATTTCCGTAACTGTGGACAATCACCTTAGCCCATCTCACACACTTGTTCAAATCTTCTGCCAGGATCATAAAAGTCTAATACATGACATCATGAGAACTCTGAAGGATTACAATATTCAGGTACATCCATTAAGCTAAAAAGAAAAATTTTTGGAATGAAAAACTTTTAGATTTGATTCTGGTTCAAAATTAACCATTTTTATAAGAAAGCCAATTGTCATCATCACTCATCTAATATATTGATTACAAGTTTATGCTCGCAGAAAATTAATTTGTTTTATTAAGTTTCAATACTGGATGTATGCAGTATACTCTTTTGTAGCAATTTTAAAAAAAAAATTATTGAATCGTGGATGACTCCTCAGTGAAATCATACTTAGAAGGGATTCTTAGTAATCGAACTTCTGTATACTTTATTTGTTACCTGAGGTCTGATCTTTGGTAACAACCTATTTAGATTTTATATCAGTTATGAATATTTTTGCTCAATGTCTGGTTCATTATTTTAAAATGGTGATTCTATTGAATATTCTTGCTCAATATCAGGTTCGTTATGGACGATTCTATGCTAACCCAAGAGGAAACTACGAGGTGGACTTGTTCATAACGCAAGCAGATGGCAAGAACATTGTTGACCCCAACAAGCAAAATGCATTATGTTCCCGCTTGAGAATTGAGCTTTTGCGTCCTCTTCGAGTGGCTGGGGTGAGCCGTGGTCCAGACACTGAGCTGCTGGTTGCTAACCCCGTTGAGTTGTCTTGCAGGGGTCGTCCTCTTGTCTTTTATGATATCACAGTGGCCCTCGAAGTTCTACAAACATGCATCTTTGCGGTACTGGCTCCAACCGATCTTATGAATATCTTGTGCTAGTTCATTGTAATTTCCTTTAGGCCAATTGAGAGGAACGATTCCCGCTTTAGTTTGATTCTCATTCTACGATTCATTGTGCTTTCATTGTTTCAGGTTAAGATAGGCAGACACATGAACCGAGATCGAGAGTGGGAGGTATACAGTATCCTACTAGATGAAGGAGTAGGTTCTCTAGTGCCAAGGAACAAAATTGAGGACGGTGTAAGAAACAAATTGATGGGTTGGGAATAGATTGGATGCCAAATTAGTTACTGGCTTCCGTCGCTGTACAGTGTAGAGTGTACAACATATTTTCTTAAGCACCGAGTTCTACCACGGCAGGATGCCACCCGGTAAATCAATAGGCGCATAATAAAAGAGCTAATGGACTGCAAAACCTCCGTCTTAACCTGCACTGCTAATGAAAGACGCTCGGCAGTCTCAGCTTCTGGCATATTTAGGTAACAAATGTTTCAGTATTTCATCATATTCGTCTTCATTATTTTCTGAATTCTCTCTATCTAATCTATCATTATAGACTATATCACAATTTGACCTGTTGGTAGAAGATCAAATTTGAGGAATGGTTTATTAGTTATAAGTCGGATGAGTTTCTCCGTCCAGGCAAGCCACCGTGATTTCAAGATGGCTCTTGCTATGCTGCATATGGAGTATAGGCATGGTACATAGCAAGAGTAGTCTTTGTCGGTGGCCTGCACCATTCTTGCACGGCTAACTGATCTGTGTTTTGGTTCTGATTTTGCTTCAAAGTCTCAAAAGTTGACCTAATACGAAACTGAGATAGGGGAGGGGACCATAAATACTTCTCTGTATTCTGCAGCCAAAGAAAGTCCATCCTTCTTGCCATTCAGATCGTTCGATTGTGACCCGAAGCGTGTTACGCAATACATATATATTTTTGTATATGCCTCAAGAAAGTGAATGAGAAAAAGCATATACCTTGAGTATTAGTAGGTAAAATATGAGTCTAGACAATGATTATGATCTTGCAGTTTGTGTAAAAGTCTCACTTCGGTTCATATGGTTTCATTTTTCGTCTGTAATTTACTAATTGTTGCAATTTAAGTACTATGATTTAGTTTTTTCAATTAAATTTAGAACGCTTCGGTTACTTACGAGGTGTTCTACACTTTTGAAAACGAAGACGTTCAATTTAAACACATTGGTCAATCATTTGCTAATTTTGTCGAACAATTAATGAAATTAAAGTAATCCCAAAATTTAGAAGCCAGACTTGAGACTACAATTATAATATAACCAAAATGGAGTAAGAGATTATCGTTAGCACTTCAGAATAGCCATCTATTGGCTTTTCGTTTTCACTAAAAAAATGTTAAAATAACTATTCTGACGTGCTAATGATACTTCCGTTATAAATAAGCCCAATTTTTTGAGTGCAAGAAAGGAAATAATGATTTTTCAATAGAGTTCCAAAAGCAACAGCTTTTAAAAGTATGTGTGGCCGGTGACGCAGCCCCACGTGACTGAACTTCTAGCTTTCAACGGTCGTTAAAAGTTTGTTGGGTTGCTCTTCGCCGGTCCCACTTTCCCTCCAAAACTCCAATCGCGGAGGAGATACCTCCGAATCTTCTCCAATCCGGACACACACCGGAAAGCAAGATCACGAACTCCACTCTTCAAAAACTACAACCATAAAAAAAGAAGAAAAAAATCGGAGCCTCTTTGTAAATAAAAAAAAAAAAAAAAAATGAGAGCTTTGAGCTCACAATTCGTGCTGGTTGATCTGCAGAGCTCATGGCAATCGGCAAACCAGATCCCAATCTCGACCCTTTGCTACCTCCAGAACTCCAAATTCATCTCCGCAGTCTCTTCGACGTTTCGTCGAACAAGTGGTGGGCGTAAGCCGGTTGCTTCGTCCAAATCCTCCACCCCATGGATTCCGTCCCCGGAGATTCGGAGGCCGTCCGATCGGTTCTTTTCCGGAAATGGGTTGGTTTCGAAGTCTCCGAATTCGAATCCGCCTTCCACGTCGCAGCCGGAGGCAGGTTCGGAGCTGGGAATGTTACTTGAATTGTTGCCTTTGAGGATGAGGAGTGAGCTATACAGGCACGAGGAGATTGGCGAGCTCGTTGAGGTTGTGATGGATTTGGGGAGGAGTCCGATTGCGAGGTTACCTTCCGGTGATTGGGTGATCTCCGAAAAGCCGGTGAATCATGAAGATCTACGGCACGCTGTATCGAAGGTATGGAGCATTTTTATGCAGACTGAGACTTAAAGTCATATTTGCATGAAATAATTTTATTTGGACAATCTTCAATTCGGTGTTTAGTGGCTGTCTTTCTGGTTTGATTATTTGTTTAATGCTTGATCAAACTGTTAATTTTGGACCTTCGTGTGATTGGTCATGCTAATGATTGGTAAAAAGCTATTAACTTTGTATTTCAAATGGATTGATCAACGTCATTTAATTTTTAAATATTATGTAGTTGGTATATTTGTCGAGGAAGATGTAAGTATTTATTTATGTGTTTCTTATGTAAAGCTACTTTCTTTTTTATAGGTTAGTGAGTTTTCAGATGACAACCGTTCGGGTATTAACAATTCACTACACCGGATAAGTGCTATTCGAAACCGTAAAATGCAAATCATTGGCCTCACTTGCCGGGTGGGACGAGCTGTCTCAGGTAGTGCTGAGATCATAAGCGACTTGGTTGAGGGCGGAGGTTCCATCTTGGTCATTGGTCCTCCTGGAGTCGGAAAGACAACCTTGATCAGGTATGTCCTACTTCTGGTTTAAGGAAATGCATTTTCTCCAATTTGGCATCACACATAAACATGATATGAATTTGTCCGTGCAGAGAAATTGCAAGAATGCTGGCAGATGATCATATGAAGCGTGTTGTGATTGTGGATACATCTAATGAGATTGGTGGAGATGGAGATGTTCCTCACGCAGGAATAGGTCGTGCAAGGAGGATGCAAGTTCCTAATGTCAATATGCAACATAATGTGAGTGTTGACAAAAATTCTATTGCTTTTTATCTCCAACTGTTGCTTTAGTTTGCAAGTAGGAAGTTTGTGCTTTTTTTCCTTTCACCCACATCATCGTTTTGCCCTCTTTCGAACTTTTGTGCAGGTTATGATTGAGGCAGTGGAAAATCATATGCCCGAAACCATCATAATAGATGAAATTGGAACAGAACTTGAAGCATTGGCTGCCAGTACGATTGCTCAAAGAGGAGTCCAACTAGTTGGAACTGCCCATGGAATGACGATAGACAACATAATGAAGAACCCTTCTCTACAGATCCTTGTTGGCGGCATAGAGGTGCAAAGCCATGCTACTCATCAACTCTATCGTTTAATAGTTGTATACAAATCTATTGGTTCTGTTTGTTGGAGTCATATATGACAGAGCGTTAACACTGTGGATATTGTGTTGAGAGACCATACCAATAAGGCTTTCGCAGATTTATTGACCAAAAGCAGTTTTAATCTGAATGCAGAGTGTGACCCTTGGTGATGAAGAAGCAAGAAGAAGGAAGGTGCAGAAGACAATTCTTGAAAGAAAGGGGCCTCCTACATTTACATGTGCTGTGGAGATTATATCTAAAACGGAACTTCGTGTGCATCACAGATTAGATGCAACTGTTGATGCTATACTGGCTGGTATTTTGCACTTTCTTCTTTGGAGCATCCCAGTGTCTTAACCGCTTTATTTACCTTACAACTGAATTGTTTGGGCAACTATTATTTTAATTTGAAATCTTTCTTGGTTGTAGGAAAATCTCCTCTCTTTGAAATCCGTCGTGTTGATGCGGATGCTAATGGCTCTTGCAAGTCTATCTCACTACCTGAAAAGAATTATCTAGAAGTGTCTGATTTTACTCTTAAGAAAGACATTGATTCCTCTGGTATAGAGTATGATGATGAAGATCTAGATCATTCTCCTAAACAGTCAAAAAAATTCAGCAGTAAAAAATCTGTGAAGAAGAGGAGTTCGCCAGTTTGTGTATATATATACAAGGTATATTACTTAGGTTTGTATATGCTTCACTATGCATTTCTATTGGAAATTTCAAGCCCGCACTCATTTAAAGTGAGAGCAAAGGTCATATATTATCGTATGTGTTGACTATGTGGCTGAGTTGAGAAGAATAACTTCATTAATTTTGCCAAGTTGCTGTTGAATGGTAGATAGTTTTTATGAGGTTGATTTTAAAAATAAAAACTTCATTTCTATTATATTGATGTATTGTAGATTCTTGAAGCTGATCTACTACAAGTAGCAAAGGTAATGGGGCTTGAAGATGAAATAGAAATGACTGACGATATCGGAACAGCTGATGCAATAATAGCATCCAGCTCTGAAATGAAACAAAACCCATGGATCCGCAGTGTTGCGAAGTTCCACAAGTTGCCTGTATTTGTCATGAAGGTAGTCTCATCTTCTTTCGTTTTTTGAAAATTCACTATTTGTATTTGTATGTCTATATATTCTTGTATAGTACAAACGCCATGGCTCATTCAGATATTTTTCTTTCCAGTTAAATACCATGGCACAAATGGTCAAGGCAGTTCGGATGATTCTTGAAATGGAATCTGTTGGCTCTTTGCCAAAGCAGATGGTCAATAGTTCTTTCGACATTGAAATTGAAGATGATGCCCCGAAAAGAAAACCATCTTTGGAAGAGATTGATGCATTGGAGGTACATTTCCGTTCCCAATTTTTCCCTTTTCAGTCTGTAAACTGTTTCAGTTCATTCTACAACACAATTTTTACCTACATCACCTGCTTAATACAAAGTTTCTCCTTTTGTTTGTGATAGGAGGTTCGACTAGCGATTGAGTACATTGTGATTCCTGGTGGAGAGCCAGTAGAGCTTCTCCCAAGACGCTCTGAAATAATCGCTCGACAGCTTGAGCTAGTGGAAAGTTATCAGTTGGCGGCTGAAAATTCAGGCACCGAGATGAATCCGAGGTTGCAGATTCTTCCCATGAGATTAAACAAAAAGAAAGCTCCAAAACGTGTTAAATCCAGTTCAAGTTTTCTGGAGGTGATTAACTCCAAATCGCTAACCAGCGGAGGTGGAGGAACCAGTGTACCTAGGCTGCCATTTTTATCTGAATAAAAATGGATGCAGATTGCAGCCTCAAACTGTAACATATTTCAATCACTGGTTGATAGGCCATTTCATTTCATGTATAGTCGCGGAAATTATGTATTTCATTTAATGTAATTATTTCGAATAATGTAACAAGCTCTTTGTAGTTGTTTCATCTTCAACGAAATAGTGTATTCCGATCAGATCTTTTTTCTTTTGTTTTCTGTTTACTAGTGCAGTAAGTCAGGTCTCAAGTTACAAGTGAAATACACATTTTCTCTGTCTCTCTCCTCTTCCTTCGTCGTCGTCCTTCCCTCTCCTATTTCTTCTTCATACTTCTCTCTCCGTCCTCTCCTCCTTTTTCATATTGTTCTCTAGATTTATGAGTGTTTTTTTTTTTTTTATCTATTCTAAGAATGATTTGGACTTTAAATTTTTAGTTTTTTATTTCAGTATTTTTTTTTAAGTATTTGATTTTGAGGTTTTGATTGATTCGTATGCATGAATTTTGAAATTGACCTTGCAAAAGTGAGAAAAGTTATTGAAACTGATTTGTAAAAGTGCGAAAATTTTGAAATTGATCTTGCAGAATTGCTAGAATTTTGAAATGTACATGGCTTGTGAAACAGATCTTGCAGAAGTGCAAAAATTAATTTTTATGGATTTAAACCAGTTCCAGAAGCATCAAACAACAGAGCATTCGAAGCTTTGGCTAGAATACAGGCATCCCAAATATGAAGATTAACAGACTTGATACCAATAAAAGCTAAAGCATCGGTCACAAAGTCAACTTCTCTAAAGATATGACACCACCTAAATTCCTGAAAAGCGCTCAGTTGACATCCTCAAGGATGGATCTCAAGTTCCAAGAAATCTTGCACTTCCCTTGAACAACATCAATAATTACCTTTGAGTCACCCTCGACGATAATATGAGAGAAATTCTTCCTCTTCGCCCAACAGATAGCTTCCTGGAGTGCTAAGGCCTCAGCCACTTCAATGGTATTATGGCCTAAGTTTAAAGCTTTCGCAATCAGAGGGTTCCCCAACTCATTCCTAAGCACAAAACCTCCAGCTGCAACTGAGTTAATGACCGACCCATCAAAATTGATTTTAACAAAGGGAGGAGACGGCTTACACCATTTAGTAGTGTCGCTCGAACTCATGGTTCCTACTCGAACACCACAAATGACATTTTCCTTAAAGAACTCATTTGTAACCGACATTGCCCTAATGTAAGTTTGGTTACAAATGCGATTCTCGCTTTTGAAAATTATACCATCTCTCTCATTTCAAATTTGCCTGCGGATCATTAAAGCTTTACCAAAAGTACTTTACTCCCTCCCATCCTTATGAGGGAGGGTATTCAATCAATCCACCACATTGTTACTAGCTAGAGTATATCTCAGCAAATCATCATTAGCCAAGTTCCCGACTTGCCTAGCAATGCACTGTAAAAAGATATGCTCTTGATCATCTTCATTATTTTTACAGAACAAACAACTCATATCAATGTTATTAATAAACCTACTCAGTCATGCTCTAGTTTGAAGCTTACCTTTAATTAGACATCACCCAAAGATGAAGTCAGTTTGTAGTTTTAACTTGGTTAAGTAATAAGTATATTAGAGGTATGGCAGTAATGTTGAAATTTTGATTTGGTTGTTTTTGGGCTAGGTTTAGTAGGGTTTGGATTTTTGTCGAATGATTCAAAACTGATGAAGATTTATGGGAGAGTAATAGTTTTAGGATGAAATGCCGATTTAATCCCTCAATTATCACCTCAGTGAAAATTAGGTTTCTGAATTATTTTTTTCAGTAAAATAAGTCCATAAATTCATTAAAAATTGCTAATTTCATCCCTATTATTATATTCAAAGCTATTTTATCAAAATTTTCGTCTACTTAAGTCAATTGACACACTTTAGAATGTAATACCATCATTTTCTAGCCTATAAACCCTTTACATTTCACATAGGTTGCGAATCTAACGTTTAATTTATCTTTCAAAATTAACTTACACTATTTCTTATGAAAAACTACCAATTACCCTCCAAAGTTAACTTCATATACTATTTCTTTATTGAAAAACTACCAATCTATCATCCAATGTGTATCACATGTAAGTAACGTGACTTAAATTGACGGAAAATTGAATATAGTAACTTCTAAAATAATATTTAGGGATCTAATTGGCAGATTTTTATAATTTAAGGACTTATTTTTCTGAAAAAAAAAACAAAAAAGCTTAGGGACTTAATTTTCACTGAAATGAGAATTTAGGAATTAAATTGACAATTCATCTATAATTTTATTAATCTTGTTTTATTTTTACTTTTAAATTTTAATTTTAAAACTCGTACTATACTTATCACACAAGCGAGATGAAAGAACATGAGGCCAGGTGAAAGTGATTCAGTTGCAAATTGAGAGGGATAAAGTGAGATTTTCGTCCAAGCACAGGGGCATACTAATAAATAACCCAAAATAGTAAAAAGGGAATAATCGGAGTAGCAGCATAGGATACAAGAATACGAAGCGGTTAGGGTTTGGCTCATCACACAGTAGACTAGAGAGAGAGAGAGAGAGAGAGAGAGAGAGAGAGAGATGGCAGGGAAGGAAGAGTACAGAATATTCGTGGGCGGGTTGTCGTGGGACGTCACGGAGCGTCAGATGGAAAGCGCTTTCCAACGTTTCGGCAAAGTTCTTGAAGCTCAGGTACCCTCAATTTTTTTTTTTAGCTTGTTTTTCGATGCTTAATCATCCAGTCAAATCATAATTGTATATGAACCCTAACTGTTTCCAATCCTATTTTTCTGTCAATTGTGTCAATTGAAAGAGGGCATGCATTTTTGGGTTTCAGCTGCTTTACTTTGCTTGCAAACTATATGGAAAGATCTTATCGTTTTACTTCTTTTTATATTTTTGCTGGTATGGAACAAATTTGAATTTAGGGTTTTAAGAGGTGAAAAAGCCCCAAATTTTTTAGTCAGTTTGAGGCTATAATTTGACCCTATATATACACATTTAGTTGATTTTAGAAGAAACAGTCAAAATCTTTGTTGCAAAAATTTTCGTCAATTCGGGCCTTTTGTTTGAATTAACTTTATATCCTGCCTGCCCAAGATATTTGAAGTACAAATTGGTTGAACCTTCACAGAAGCTTTTGGGTTTGAGGTAGGAAGTTTAGACAATGGTTTTTTATGGCTATACTGCATGTTTATTACTTGGTCGATTGATCCTGATTATCAATTTCAAATCATGCTCTTTCCACATGTTCCGTGAGCTTGTTTTACCCTATTATTTTCTGTATGAAGTGCCCTTCTTGAGCGAAAACAAATGAAACAAATAAACTACTTAATGAGATATTTAATTGTCAGTTATGTGATTCTGACCTCAGCATATCTTTGATTGTACATTTACAAGGAGCATTGATATTAATTCTACATGTGTATGTGTAACTACGATTACGTATGTTTATTTTGATTTTATCCTTTTCTTTCGATAGTTTCTGTTGTCCTCACTGTGTATTAATTCTCCTTATTTCTTTTCATGTCTTTTTGGAATGCCGGTTAAAATCTTTTGATGCTGTACGTGTATGGGTTTTCGTAGAGATATTTTTGTTTGAGTGGTTGCTTCGAGTTGCTGAAGCTTGATGTGATTTTTTGGGACTAGTTATAGCTGATGATTAAGAAATATCAAGGCAGGAAATATTACACAGGCAGATGGTATCTGGATGTGTGGAATTGAGTTCAAAGTAGCCCAGTTAACTGCTTGCTTAGTCTCATCTGCTGTACAAAGATTTACTGTTGAAAAGATCTGTGGTTGGGATCCACAAGATTTATTGATGAAAAGATCTGTGGTTGTGATAGTCTTGGAACTTCGGTATATAAGTAAGGCTTTGAGGGTGGGCCGACGAATCATCAACTCACAAGATATGACAACTTTGAGAAGTTTATCTTTTTTGTAGGAAGTATATTTCTGTTTGGATTCTGTGGCTCTGCAGCCTAAGTTTGACTTGGTTATTGTTTGATCAAGGGATGTTTTTACTTTTTCTTCAACAACGGTTTTTATCTTATTAGAACTAATGCTCTCAACGGTTTGGCCATATTTCGTATCGTTTGGACTCAAAATGTGTCGATAGTGAAGGATGTGTCTGTTTTCTGAGAGCATTTTGAGCTGAATAGAGTGTCCTCATCTATGTTCCTTTGTTCCTTTTTTTTTTTTTTTTTTTTTTTTTTTTTTTTTTGGTTTTTGTGGTTCATAGAATTCAGAAGTTTATATACTGTCAACTCGTCATTTGTTGTCATATAGGTTATGCAGTTTTCTTAGCGACTGCTAAATTAGAGATTTTTGTTGTCTCTTGTTAGTTGTTCTTCAGATATGTTATATCCTTGATGCTTGATCTTTTAGTTATGCTTGATCTTTGAGTTTGATTGGATGAGGCTGCAAAGAATCAAGTCTGAATTAGTCAATCCAAACATCGTGTCAATGAGGTCCTCTCATCCTGCTATTGTGGAGTGCTCATGAAGTCTGAGCCTTCTTTTCAGCCTTCTGAGTAGAATTTCTTATTTTTCAAACTAGTCCAATTTTTTTTAAGGGGTTTCAAAAGATTTTCATGGTCAAATATTATATGCAATAAGTTTATCTAGTGCGTTATGAACTCAACAATCTAAACCTGGTAAAGTTATTTACATATATCATGAAGCTTCCAACACACTTTCGGTCTTGTCACTTGCGAGCACATTTATGCTATCCATTCAGTGGATCTCATGAGACATCATCCGGATCACTAGCAGTCTTTTCAGATTCCAGAAACAGTGTTTAATTGAGGTTCGCTTGGCAAGATGAATTCAGCAACATCAACGCTACACCAGATATGGATGCTGCTTAGCTCATCTGTAGTTCCAGTATTGATTTAAGATACGATAACTTTGGTGTTGTAATAGTAGTACTTTTGGCCACCTCAGTATCCGAAAATCTGAATCTGTTCCAAGTTGGAGTCTTGGTATATGGAGTGGGCATGGGCACATTTTTTCTCTCTCTTTCTACCCGTTGGCATTTCATCTTTGGGCACAGTGATGTGGAGTTTTTAGTAGGCAGTGGTCTGATAATTGCAAGTACTTAAAAGTTGTCAGAACATCCTCCATCAAAAAAGGTTGTCAGAACATGGATCTCCATGGCTCTGGGGTATCTTTTATGAGTTTAGTAGGTCTAAATTTTCTGGTTGAAAGAGATAATCATCGTTTTCAACAGTTCTGCCATTTTGAGCTGACAATTGGATGGAGCATCTTTGCTGTCTTTGACTGATTTTTGTTTCTTTTTCAAACTTAATGAAACACTATGAGAATGAGTGATTATGGATCGAGTTGGTTGTGGTCTGCAAAATGAACACAGTTTTTTAGGACACCTTGATATCTTTTTGTGTTCTATGTGGCTTGTTTTGAATAGTGGAAAGATCAAATATTGCAATTGCTGCCTTTGAGACATTTGGGAGAACATTCTTTTTGTGAATACAAGATGGATGCTTGCCTGGTGTGTGTAGTAATATCGTAATTTCTGGTAGTCATGTTGGGATTAAGGATCAGTGAGAAGTTAACCATATCACAAAGCTACTGCAAGCACCGATGACCAATTGAATTTGAATGCAACTGTTTGAGAGTAGACGCATTTGACTTTGTGGTGGGTAGGTATCAGTTTATGCTGGATATAGTTTATTGGATTTTGTGAGAAGTCAAGATCAGAAGTGATTCCTCTATAGTTATCAGAAATTTTTCAGTTTGAAACAAGGTTCAATCTGTTATCCATAGTAACGAAGAGAAAGTAAGTTATCAATTTGTTAAATTTAATTACCAGTTAGGATGTGTGCTAAATATACATTGCTAATTCATATCTCATTCTCAAATTTTGTGTTCGTATTCTGTGTTCCCTGTCTATTAATTCTTCTTCCAGCTTCTTAGCAAGATCTGTGGCTGGGTGAGGCAAGTTGCGTTTAGTTCCTGGTTGTGAACTCCTGGGAGTAGTTTTATAGATTATTGTCTCACTTTTGGTTAATATAGATGAATTTCATTTATATGAAATGGCTAATGTGGTATTTTTATAGATCATGATGGAAAGAGATACAAACCGACCTCGAGGTTTTGGGTTTATTACATTTGGGGATCGGCGAGCAATGGAAGATGCAATCCGGGAGATGCATGGGCGGGAGCTTGGTGATCGCATAATCTCTGTGAACAAAGCTCAACCCAAAATGGGAGGGGGAGGAGCAGGAGAGGATTCTGACCATGGCTATAGAAGCGGTGGTTACTCGTCTGGTGGCAGGAGAAACTATGGGGGAGGAGATAGACCTGTTGGACAAGATGAATGCTTCAAGTGTGGGCGACCAGGACATTGGGCCCGAGATTGCCCTTCAGCAAGTGGTGGAAGAGGTGGTGGAGGTTCATTTTCATCACATTCTAGGTTTGGGGCTGGTGGCCGTGGGGATCGTTTTGGTGGAGACCGCGGTCGCTACATGGATGATCGTTATGATGGAGGGCGCTATGGAGACAGGGACCGTTTTGACAGCAGAGATGACAAATATGGGAGCCGTGATCGCTATGTTAGTGACAGGTATTAGTGACTGCTTTACCAATTGTTCCTTTCTCATTTATGATTGCTCTGAATAATAACAAACAAAATCCATTTTACCTCAACTTTCTCTGACATTTCCTTGTAGGTACCCAGCTGGTGATCGTTTTGCAAGTGACAGGTACGGTGGTTCTGATCGTTACCCTCAGAATGGTTATGGCAAAGATAGAGGCTATGATAGGGACGGTGGCCCAAGAGGAGGCGACAGATATGCTAGTGGAGGGCCTGCGAGAGACGACAATTACAGAAGCAGGCCAGGTCCTTATGACCGCCCTAGCAGGGGAGGGCGCCCATCGTCATTTGACCGTTACTAAAGTGCTGCCGTTGGGTGGCTCGGCTGTTTTTATGAAACTTGTAGCTGTTTATACTCTTTTAGGTTCTTGATGTGGGACGTTGAGATTGCAATTTTAATGTAGGATTGATGGATGATATGCATTTTAATTCAGTATTTTCCTGTTCCATAATATTTATTACTCTCTTCAGTCATCCCCCCTTCTTTCTGGTTGATTGGCCAACAAATGAAGCTACATAAAAAGAAAGTGAAGTCATTTTCTTGCTCTTTTATTCCACATATTGATATGTATTGTCTTGTGTTTGCTTTCCATCTTTTCTATTTCTTGTTGAATTTCATATGGTTCTGTTTTGAATATTTAACCCCACGGATATCAACATTTGTTTGAATCCTACGGTAATATACCAGTCAAATGTGTAACTTCTTTTGTCATTCGGTACTACGGTCGAGTGGTATTCCTCTTCACTTGGAAGTGAGAGGTCTTAAGTTCTAATCTCGTGGATGACGAATTCAATACCAAATTATGTTGCTTTTTGTGCGGTTTAACCGATTTCTCGCACCTCTTAATGTAAAAATGTATCGATATACCCAGACAAAATAAAATGTGTAACTTCTTTTTCCGGCTCAACAAAATTTCCTAGTACCACTGGGGTGGTGTTAGAAAAAAAAAAAAAAAATTATTGGTCAACTTTTACTGTGGTGTGTGGTTCCCAATTCAGGTTGAACTATGAGGTCAATATGTTGAGGTAGAAATAAAAAAATTGTGATCAACTAAAGGAAATTTTTTTTCCTGTGACAAGAATACGAAGGGTATTTCACGTGTTTTTATATAAATGGTGGAAAATTATATTTTTTAAGTTATTAACTTTTTAACAAACATATCCCACTATTTGTATAATGACACGTGATGTACAATCTCGTGTTCTCATTGAAAATCTCTCCAACTAGAGGTAGGAGATGAATTAACCAAGAAGAAAATTTATTGATTCCAAAGCCTTTACGAAATAAAAGGAGAATAACGAGAAATTTTTCAAGGAGCCGGAAACTCCACGTAAGCAACGATAGCAGGTGTAACCAAGCAATAAGAAATGGACACATGGCTTTTAGCAATTTTCATTTAAGCATATATGAACACGTAACCGAAAGCAAAAACACTTCCGTCAAACTTTGCATTCACCACCTCTCTCCTTCCCACCGTAGATGATCCCGACGACATCACCGGAATATAAAGCTTCTCGGGCTTCTTCCTCTTCAGCTGCATCACCGGAAACCCCAGAGCCGAACGCGACCACCCGCTCGGCGGTTCCAGGATCCGAATACGAAAAACTCTGTCAAATTGTCGCCGACAATGGCGATACCTGTCCGACCTCGGTTTTCGTCCTCGCTTCGATGGCTTTTCACCGCCCTTCTTTGGAGACACCAATTAATCAGTTGAGAAGTTAAAGGAAAGAAAAAACTCCATTTTCTTAAAGGTTCAATGCAATCGGCCATGCATTCCCAAAACATTCACACTATGCTTGAATTCATGAATGGTGGAAAGTGTGAAAAACCCAGAAAAGAGAAATCCAGAATTACCAATAAAAAGTAAAAAATTGGAGCAGAAAGCTAGCTATAGGGAGTCGAGATGATGTAGACGGAGACCATGGCGACGGCACCAAAGCAATTTTCAGATGCACCGTTTCGAGGTCAGAGAGATTATTTTAATTGAAATAGAAAGCAGACCAGGTGTCTATCTATAATTGGGTCGGTACTCCAAGTCAGCTTGGATACCGGATATCCTGAAAAGTTTCTCGAGAATAAGGGAGAATTTTCTTTGTGTCAACCTATTCTAAATCTCTTAAAATGAAAAATTAATGTCATCTACTTTAATATGTCAATTCATTTGAACCAAATTCTCTATACTGAACGAAGTAACTTACCTCTAAATTTATTTAAACTACGAGAATGAGAGTTTGAATTTGAGTGCAAAAATTCTTTCTAGCTAACGTGACTAAAGTAATGTTTGCATGCTCCCTACAATCTAACTTCCCCTTTTTCTTGGGGTCAAGTTTCCCATTGTGAGTAGGGCATGAAATAGCAAAGTATTGGAGAAAATCTGTCCATCAAATGAGCTGTAATTAGATTTAAACGCTTAAATTTAAAGTTCTTTTATCAAATATATGCGCCTTTTAGGATTTTGATTAATACATTACGTCACATCAGTATTTTTTTATTTATTAAATTAAAAATTATTACTGTAATATTTGAAATAAAAATTTTATATATTGATTTCTTAATTTGTGCTTTATTTAGTTGGACGATTTTTTTTGCTACCAACTTTTTTTAAAAGTATTTAAGGTGTTGTGGACTCTTTTTTAAGGAGATAATCTTAGTTTTTCATTCAAAATATTTATCCAATTATCTCGTTTTTATATTTTTCCGAAGCATTTTTTGAGGTCAAAACACTCAGCTACAAGCAACGTTTTAAAAATTTGATTTATGTAACAAAAAATGGTGGATGCTTATTATTTTTTAAATTATTATGTATACATTTTATTGAGAGAATTATTTTGTATACATTACTAGTACGTTTGTTGTTCATTTTCTTACGTTGATTTTGTTCGTATTATCGACTGGTACATCTAATTTTTATATTTGGTACGTTCAATTTTGTATATATCATTGATTGGTACGTCTATTCTTTAGTGTTCGGTACGTTTCATTTTAGTTTTTTAGGTTTGATTTAGTTTTTGGTAGACAATGGATTGATAACATAATATTTTTTGGCTTTTTAGCCAAAATGGTATCTGAGATTTGCATAACTCATCACTTTGGTCCATGAATCAATAGAAGTGGTCCCTGAGATTTTTCACCATCAATCATTCTGGTCCTTCCATGAAGCATTATGTTAAATAAGGATCAAAATGACAAAAATATCCTCAATTTAATAAATAGTAGGCTAAAATGATTTGACAAAAATTGAGGGTATCTTTGTCATTTTATTCTTATTTAATGGAGATTTTTCATGGAATAACCAAAATGATTGATTATAGACAATCTCAGGGACCAATTTTATCATTTTCAAATCTCAGAGATCAAAGTGAGGAGTTATACAAATTTCATGACTATTTTGATTAGAAAGCTTATTGTTTTTAGTGGAAGATAACATAATAATTATCTCTCTTTGTTTTGAATTAATAATAATAATTAATATTTTTGTTTTGAAGAAGGCAAGGAGCTTTGAATATTATTTTTGGAATAAATTGATGGATTAATGTCAAATCATGTAATTTTTATAGAAAGAGGACAGGTTGACAAACGTGACACAAAAATTGTAGATAGTAGTTTAATAAAAAAAAAAAAAATCTAATAGCTAGGAATGTTTGGTCTAACAAATTTAAAAATCGCAAGCACCTAGTTCAAAATTCCCCAACAAATAACAAGCCGAGTATGTAGATAAACTCATAAAGTTCACGATCTTGAAAATTATAAGTTCCACACTACTCTAGCCGAAAAACTATCGAATCTTGTTTCTTCTCCTTTACGTATTGCAAATAGCACTACCTATTGCCACTTAGTACTACAATCTAGTAATATTCCTCTTCACTTGTAAATGAGAGATCTCAGGTTCGATTTTTACTAAAGGTGAATTTGAACTACATTATTGCTAACCCATTGTGAGGCTAAGTTATCCCCCCTCCCCTTTAGTATAGAAAATATCGTTTGTTCAAAAAAAAAAAAAAAAAAAAAAAAAAAAAAAAAAAAAAAGCACTACCCCATTTTAGGTTTATGGGACCAACCCCAAAGTCAAGAGGAAGCTTCTAATAAACTAAAATGATTTAGAATATTGTCTTGTATTTCGTTTAAAAGAAAAATACAGAACCTTTGATTGGTTATAGTAAGTTGGACTTATGCCTCATTTGGTATTACTATTTTTTTACCAAAACCTGTTTCACTTTAAAATTAAGCAATGAAAAAATATTTCATAAAAATAAATTATTATGCTTACTTTAAAAGCAATAGCCTCTCGACAATTTTTTTTTAAAATAATGTTTCTTTTAAAAACTACTATCATAAAAAACGAAGTTAAGCCTCTAATGAAAATTTATGTAATACCTCATTAGTTTTTTAAAACGATATTATTTATTCTGCTACATACGTTTTATTTTTTGGAGAACAAACTAACCACCAACACCTACTACTACAACTCCAACCTTTACCACGCCTGCCACCACCACAATTATCATCCTGCCACCACAACCACCACTACTGCCGCCACTGCTACCACCATAACCACAAACACATCTATTGCCACCACACCCACCACCACTACAATTGATGCTGCCTTACCACTATTGTTACCTCTATGCCCCAACCACCGCACTCTACTATTTGGCACCACCACTATACCCCAACCATTATTGCTACCATCACTACCACTGCCACCACCATTGGCATTGTCTCCGCCACCGTTGGCGTTGCTATAACCCCCACTTCTGTGTTCATTTTGTCATTGTATACCAATCGTGTCACTTTTACATCAAATTTTACTAAATGTTTTAACATTGCTTTTCATACTCACAGTACTTTTAAAAATACAATTTATCAAACGTTCAACTTTTTTTATCTTACAACTGACTATTCTTAAAGCACAGCAGAAACATTTTTTTTTTTAAAACACAGACAATTCCAAGCTAACAGTGACATGTGCGGCTATAGTTTTCTTTCTCTTATATATCTCTCAGACGTGTAAACACATTGACTAAGATATCACCACACTTCAGGAAAGAATCACACGGCAGACAAATGTGCTTTTGCTCTCTCAGTCTACTTTAATTTCAATATTCTCTTTTTCTTTGTCCATTTTCCAAAGCAAACTTTAGAAATCAGCTGTGCCTGAGATTCCTGGCAATTGACTTGGCTAATTGTGTTGATCCTTATGCAGAGTAGGAGGGAAAGTAGTAGAAAAGAAACCCTAGTTTTTTTTTTTTGTGTGGATAAAGTAAACCCTAATGTCTTAGTTCTTAGTCAACATGATTCAAACTTTTGAATATATATTCAAAAGTTTATTCAAATTTGTACACGTGTGTTTGTGTGTGTTTCGTTGCTGCTTTCTTGCATGAGAGAGAGATAGGAGTTACGAAGACAACTTACATGATATGAATACATCACGTGACGTTCTTTGTCAATAAAAT